CTCTCGATATTTGGCATCGGCCATGTCATTGGCTTCGTTGCCGAGTTGACTGGTCGTAGGTCAATTGTCAAGCGGAATTTCGCCGGTGGTGCTTTAGGCACTATGAGCGGTGCCGCCACCCAATCGGCCTCAGTCGACAGTTTGAGGAATCCGTATTCCAACAAGTTGCCTGTGACGCGTTCGAGGAATTGACGTTTCGCCTGTGGGTAGCGACGTTGTGCAGCCCGAACTGGGCGTGCTCCATCCTTCACCTCAATGATCATAGGCTGTACGTCAGCCGGTGGTCCTTTTCCAAGGCGTATCCGGAGGACGTCTGATAACTCTTGGAGGATCCCGGCCAGTGTGGAGCTTCCTTTCTCCGATAAACCGTTATCGACAGCTTCACTTATTGCCGTTCTTACTGCTCTGTCCTTCTCTTCCGTCTCGTCTTCGCCGAAGTCCAGCCAATTTTCGGAATCGTTGTCGTATTCGTCCACCCCTCCGTTTGAGTGGAAGACACCTTCTTCGATGATGCGCGAGATGCGGCTAGGAATGGATCCATCGTTGAAGCCTAACTCAGCGACATCCACTTCGCCACCGAGACGATCCGCCGCACGTGCGAGGATGTCTTGGGCGTTCAGACCAATACGCTGGAGAACCGGCCTGCTGAGTAACGACTCCGTGCATGTCTGTTCCGTTACCATCCACTGAACGTTTCGCAGTACTAACGTTGTGCCATGCCGTATGTGCAATTCAATGGGCATCACTGCCGTCTTACCACATACGATATTGACCGGCTCAGATGTTTCCGAGTTTTGTACTGACACGTTGTACACGCGTTGGTTCGGTAAATTCTGGACGGCAACGTTACCGCCCTCACGCACGATACGCTCCAGTAGGTCGCTACCCATCAGATTGACGTCGGCCCCGATGTCCGCCGTCACAGAATCGCGAGTACGGCCGGCATACGTACATGCGAATATGACGCTGCTCTCGTTGTGCGTAACTTTGTTTTTCCTCGCGACACGTTTGGCGGAACGTTCTACCTTATCGCCTCGGTTCCGCTTGAGCTCCTCACGGTGGGCATCGAGAAACTTCTTCTTCTCGTCATCAGGGCATGAACAACAGTCCATTATCTTATGTCGTAAACCCTTCGCCTTATGCGCTGGATACAGGCATACTGGTACCTTGGACGTGGGCACCGGACGAGAATACGACGTCGTCTTCTCCGGCTTGTTACTCGATTTTGGGGCGGTTGGTACGGACTTGCGTTGCCCGTACTTCTCACACGCCTTTGCTTCCGATATGAGCTCCTTGACGAACATCTTCACATTCCTCTTCAGTGATGGATCGTATTCCACCCGTTGTATTACCGTGTCCCGCAGTGCGTACGGGACTATGTTTTGACATAGAAGTTCGAATGTCTTTTTAGGGTTCTCCACGCGAAATTCTCCATATCCAACCGCGTCTAACCTTTGGAAGTAGTCGTTGACGTAATGAAGCATACGTGCTTCAGGATCAGCGATGGTGATCGGGACACGTAACCCTTTGAGGGCTCTCTCTACCACCTTTGGATCAAATCCGGACGTTGGTACCGTTACCAGTCCATTTATGTAGGTTTTAATGTCCTTGGACGTGAGATCATCGGCCTCTACGTTAGGTGCGATCTCGTCAAACTTTCCGAGGAACACCAACGTTGCCAGTAATCCCGCGTCTAGTGACACAGTATAGGAGGCTGCCGTTAACGTAGGCAGCTCCGTACTTTTTTCTGCGACTTGTCGTTCGTACCGCTGTCTCTCGGGGATGAAAGTCGATACTGCAACCGGATCGACGGATTTCAACATCGGATGAGAAATTGGTGCAAATACCGTCACGGCCCTGACGGCTTCTTCGCCGTCTGATGCCATTCTGCCTTCTTCTTGCTTCTGGGTCGTCTCGTGGACACCACGTCGTTGGTAATACGTTCGTCCAGGTCGGCTTGGATAGTTCGACCGGCGTGTCGTTACCATACAGCGTAGTCTCGAAGTCTTCTGGCCAGATAGAAATTTCTAGAGACGTCGACGGGAAAACGCCAGAGCACGCCTACGCAATGTGGGATACAGGCGCAAATAGAGGTCTGCGGATGTAGCCCTGTAGGACGTTATCTGAAGGGGACGTCACTTGGCTGGGAAAAGGCCTTTTTTCGTTAGCTGTTAGCTGCTAGTTCTTTAGTTCGCTGTTTTTTGTTCTCCTAGCATATGAGGGAATCGTGAGACGAAATGCTAGGGATGGCACCCGCGGTGGTGAAGCGAAAGGGACCTGGTGGTACTGACACCAAATCGGATCATGCGGTATACTCAAGGAGCACCGCCCCTGATCCTCCAATTGTCTTTCTCAATCATACTGCGCGCGGCCAATCAGATACCGTAGCTTGTTCATCTACATGTGTACTGTATGAGTCGGGGTTCGCGTGTTTCACAAGAGATCTGAGCGTCTACACTGACAGAGCTATTGATGCAGCAAGAATCGACATGAGCGACGATCTCTTTGTTGAGACGCTTTCATCCTCAGAGCTCGTGCGGTATCAAGCCGGTATCAAGCCCTCAAGGAAAAGTATAATGGTGGTGTGAACCTTCAAATGCTTGAGCTTCTCGAAATTGATGTGGGCACCCTGGACCGAGCTGTGGAATTGTACCTGGTTGGCAAATTTATCAATGCAGAAGGGGTGCGCTTACAGATACACTAGCAGATATGAAGGTGAATTATACTTCTATCGGGTACGTGATGTCCGCAACGTGTGTCGGTAGGCGAGAAAGGATAGCTGCAGCGACACTGGACCATATGGCAAAGCTCAGGCGTTGGTGAATGCGTGACTTTGCAGTTGCTATCGTGCAGGAGCTGCGGAGAGCGATCAGTTTTGCATGAGCGTCTATGACTTGAAGCGTGGATTGTGAGGGCGCACCCAGAGTGTCGAAGGACAGTGGTTGAAAGTGCCAGTCCAGGGACGGGGGAGGACCGTGGTCCTCGATAAGCAGAGCGTTGCGGATGGTGCGGTCGAGGGCCTTGCGCTTGCGATACGCGCCTGCTTCGGCGGCTCCAGCACTGTGGCGCGCGGCTTGGTACAACACGCCTTTACGAAACGGGCTGCCAATAGTGAGATCATAAGCCGTTGGCTTATCTGGAAGCAGACCGGGAGGAGGCGGCGAGGGCTGTACGAGTATGTCGGCAGGGCGTGCAGCGGTATTGGGTATGAGAAACGGGACCTCGAGGGAGTAGGCCAGACCAGCTGGACGGAAGACTTGTCGGGCAAAGACATTCCGGACGGTGTTATGTCGGTGTACCATGCCGAAACCGTGGCGACATATAGTAGCATGGTCGCCTCTGGTGTCCATCGGTTTAGAGCAATGGGAGCAACGCAGCGGGGAGACGGAATCTTGTGTGACGTGAGCATCTAGGTGGCGTCGGAGCATCGTGGCCCACGTGGCATTGTGAACGCGAGACGTAGCAGCTGGGTGGGCAGTGAGGAAGGATGTAGCACCCGGGGAAAGGAAGGAATTATACCTGACTCGTCTGCGTATGCTTGCGGTGCTGTGGTCAGCTGGATCAGGAAACGACTCCCAAAGGTTCTTTTGCCAGTATGTGCGGGCTGCTGCACTTTGTTGCGCCTGAAGTAAAAAGTTCAGAATTGAATTGTCTGAATTGTACCTTTTTCCTGAGCCGATGGTAACTGTGGTGATTCCTGCATATGACTCCCAGTCATTCCTCTCTCCCGTCGTTGGCCAACGGCACCTCCCCTTTTGCTCAGTGGTTATCATTCCCTGCATGACAGGTTATGGGCCTCATTCTACTGCTGCGCACGCGAGTTCGAATCCCACCGTACACCTCCTTCCCACACTACCCAATCACAAGCTCACACGTCAACCACCCGACGTTGTTAGAAGCAACCCCTCACAAGCTCACACGTCAACCACCCGACGTTGTTAGAAGCAACCCCTCACAAGCCGACACGTCCCACACCCGACGTATTCAGATGATGCAAAAAACCTCATTTTTCAGGTTCCAAGGTCCACCCGCACTGTAAGACGTCACCAACACGCATCAAAAACCTTCAGGTTCATGGTACACCTGCGCTCATACTTTCAAGTCAAGAACCCGGCATTCCTTCTCTTTTAGTCACTCACATACGAGTTCAGGGGGACTGTGGTGATTCCTTCAACTCATTCATTGAACTCGTCTGCTCATTCCCACTTTGCGATGCTTCCTTCTCTGCTGATTCCTTCATATGACTCCCAGTCATTCCTCTCTCCCGTCGTTGGCCAACGGCACCTCCCCTTTTGCTCAGTGGTTATCATTCCCTGCATGACAGTAACAAACCCTCAAGCGAAGCTTGAGTCAATCTCTCAAATTTTAAGAATGGCATCCACTACGCGCATTCGCATTATTGGCTTTGTGAACTTTACCTTAACACTCCGCGGGTGCGCACTTTTCGCTCTTGCTAAACTAGTAGGAATCACATTTTGTCGTGAAAACAGGCAAGTTTTAGTCTCGAGCAAAGCCGAGGATTTCCCCGTAGCCACCAGAGAGGGTGTTGTGTCACCAGGGAACAGTTTCTCCAACTTGAAGATTTCATGTATCTCAGGTCCCTATTGCTAGCTAGAGCATATCCGCTGAAAGCACTCGGCATGCACCCAGCTGAAAGTATTCGACTTTAAGGAGATATTGCCTTGTTCTTAGATTTGTAACGTTTCGCCTACAGGGCATAGTGCGCATCGGAAAGGATGTCCTATTCTCGTGAAGCACTTAAGCTTGCAAGTACCTGACGACAGTACCCTAAGGGTACGGTAAAATAAACTACGCTTGTGGCAATGGTGCAAGAAAAGAGAACAGTTTCTCATCACCATTCTTGCTCAATATCGGCCAAGACATGAAAATTTTCAATGGTACAGTAATTGAGCTTCTTTGTCTCTGAGCTTTTGACCAATGCAAAAGCCTTGGTCCCTTCAACTCATGTATACTTCGAGAAATAAACTCACACGGGTACAGAAGACAACAGAAGCGTTTATGAACTCTATATATAACGATCTGTGAATACAAGAGAACAACAAATACGTATGGCGAAAACATATGTAGTTCACATCAACTTGTTGCATATTCAGGATTCGATCTACAAACAGTTCTTTACACGACATCTTTCCGTTCTCTCACCGTCAGCAGGTCGCTACATTCGCTGGGTACAGTGTTGAGCTATCCACACCTGTTGAAACGGCTTTTAGATAATAACGTTTTGCACAATTTCGTAGGTGTCAGCACCGATTTCCACATCACTTTGTCTTGGGTCGTTTGGAGATGAAGCCGTAGACTTCATTTCAACATCGAAACGTGATGAAGAAATGATACGGACGGTGGCACCGCTCAACAGCTCTACCTCAGCTTCTCTGATATAGGCGTGATAGGTTTTCGGGATGAAACTATCAGAGACCAACGTCCTCGTCCCAGACAGGGTCAAGTTTCTCGGTTTTGCTTCCTCAAGAATTGACCTAACAGCTTCAATCTCCTTATGGGTTCGGATTTGAGCTGTATCTCGGTCTTCGTTGTATGTTGCCTGCCCTAACCGGTTCATAATTACTCCGCACCAACTTAAAAATGGCATCTGCAGGTCACCGTTAAATTTTGCGCGAAGAGACATGTATTCATCAATTTGGTCGTCGCGAATTCTGTTTAGCAGAAGTGCGTCGCTCTTAGCAAGTGAATCCGCTGGAATAGCAGTGATGTTGAACGAAAAGTTGAGACGGCCACTTGATTGAAACGAAACGGTAACATTGTTATCGCCAGCCCTCACCATCTTCGTGTTTGCCGATTTGAACACCGAACGTTGCACTGTGTTTCTTGCATCTGACGGAAGTAGGGATGGGTCAGACTGCTTGGTGAATCGCCCTCGAAGAGAAATGTACGGTAATGTCAACGGTTCGTGAGTAGGCTTTCGGAGGAACGATGCGGACGCGTAGCCAAGCAGAATAAAAGCGATCAGTTGTTTTGTCTTGACGGCTCCTGCTTTCATTTTTCTCGAGTAAGGTTTCTCTCTCGGGTGCAAAAACGTTTTCTTGAAAAGGCGCCTTCTTGTGAGTAGTGTGGGTGAAGTCACGCATGAATGATAAGTGCAAGTCTCCTCCGCAAAAGAAAGACAAGCACCCTTGTTTATATGCTCCTGTACTCCTGCCTTCGATTGTTCACCCGCTGAAAGGAACAAGGTTGAACTGATTCCCAAGGCTTTCCCTCTAAGGAACAATATGAAAATTTCTGCTTTACCTAATGGGGTGCACCCGCCAGAACAGTGGTTCGACCCTTGCAGACTAAGATGGAGCCCTGCGAGAAATGACGAATCATGACGGTATCTGCAGTGAGGTCTGACAGCTTGAACTGTCGCCGAAATCTACTGTAAAAATTCCCATTGCCGGACTCCCATCGTGAAGAGTCTGACCTCGTCGACGGCGGCAGGCCGAGGAAGATGCATTTTGCGAAATCGTCCGCCTACCGGTGCACGCATGCGGGCGCATTTGGATTGAGCCTTAGGCACAACGAAGAGGTGTGGAGCCGGCTCCAAACCAGCTCATGGAAGAAGGCTTTGCGTTTGGCACATTAAGTGAAGACTGTCTCAGTAACGCATCGTGACCTGCAATGACGTCGTTGAGCCACCCTCGTTGCCGGCTGCGCTCCTCAACACGTACTGAACAGTACGCACTGCGCACCCATCACATCGCATTCCATACCGCGAAATCCCCAACAAGCGCGCGCAAGTTTTGATCTGCGGCTTCAACTAGCCCAGACCCACTCTCGCCCTGCATGGCTGCCTTTTCTCCCTTACTTCCTTGCGCGATAGCTCGCAACGCCTTACGCCGCCTTCACCTCACTTGAAAGCCCTTTCTCGCTCGCCCTTTGCAATGAGTTTGAAGCCCTGGGGCACTAATGATGCCTTCCCTGATGACTCTGAATTCGGCACGGGCCTTCAACTTTCTTTACCCGACGCAACTGAAGGACCCCGGGCACAATCTGACCTTTCAAGTTTGAGCCGAGCTCGTTCTCTTGATTGTTCTATGCATGCCGATTAAGCCTGTGCCGTCAAGTCTCCATCACCGCGCCCGAACGCTGCAACTCGATCCCTTGCCCTCATGATCGCCAACGGAACTCTCACCCATCCGTTCGCCGCGCAAACTTTTTGGACATGGGAGTCGTCGTCTCCGGTCCTGCACGCCTTCACCGTTGCAATTCTCACCACAATCCTCTCGTATCAGTTGACGGCGGCCATATTCGATCTATGTGTTGGCTTGAAGCCCGCAGGCTGGGTCTCTATCCGCAACCTGTACGTGCAATTGCTTGCAGATGAAGCATCCCCCCTTGCCATTGCGGCAGCGCTGTTGCGCAACCCTACGCTCGCGCGGTGGCATTTTCACGGCTTCAGGGCTGAGTGCCCAAACGCACTAGCCGTACAGGACACTCGCCCACGACAGATCCCGTCCATTGCGCCTAAGCTCTTGGTGCTGTTGCTGGTAGCTCCTGTCACCAATCTGGTGGCCATCGTGCTGAGCTTGGAACGAGACAGCGTGGTCACGTTTGAAGAGGCGAAATTTGGGGGCGTCGCTTTCGGGGTGTCGTTTGACAACAACACAGATGTAAGGGAAGAGCTTTTGATGCCGTTGTGCACGCGATATGCGCAAGACGTGGGCAGGGGGGAAACTGCGCTGGCGAGCTTTTTATTTTGTACGTACACGCATCATGGAATACGACAGTCACCCTTTTCGCGCTCAAGGGTGCAGGTGGAGGTGGACCGGGCAGGGCAGCTGTGGATGCGCGTGCTGATGCAGGGGTCAAAGACAGAACAGTTCGGGTCTGCCGAGATGGCGATACAAGAGCGTGTGTACAAAATCCGGACAGCGGTCACGGCGGACGACCTCAAATCGGTGGTGGGGACGGGGCAGGACATACTGAAGCGGACATGTCGTGCGGCGACCACCGAGGCCGTGGGCGATGCGGTGGTGACGGGGACACGAGAAGGGGGGATGGTGGTGACTCAGCAAGCAAAGTGCACAGAGACGGGGATGACTGCCTACGGGGCCTCAACAGCCGTTGCACACATGACCCGCCGTCTGACACTGGTGGAAAGCGAGGAGCTGGAGGTGGCGCGCGTGGAGGATGTGGAGGCTGGGGCGGTTCGTTACTTTAACGGGCGGGGGTTGTCGTATGTGAGCAGGCACGAAACGTTTGTGAGCGTGGCCGTGCTGGGGCTCATGACTGCAGCGGTGACGGCAGCAAGGCTCGTGGTCAAGATGGTGACGAACAACGATGTTTACGCGGCGGTGGAGATTATGGTCAAGGAGATGGCCGCATGGCCGTGTTGTGATTCGATGCTGCCGAGCAGCGACACGGTGCTGTACAGCGACAGGTGTCGCGTTGTTGCGGCGCAGAATAAGTAAAGCAGTTACCCCATCTTTGGAGGTTCATTTTCTCTCTCTACTTTCCCCTCGTCCGCCCCCTTTAGAATCATTCAGTCTCTATATTATTGGCTTTGGATATCTAACGCCCCCGTTGCTGTTCAAGAGGGAAATGCACAACACTCTCCTTCGAAACATTTCTCAGGACTCTCTTCAACTGAATGGCGTATTGCATTCTCAGCACTGAAGAGAAGCTGCAACGGCGGACTTCGAATTCCTACGTTCCCGCTTATTGTCATTGATTTGTCCATAGACCCTTCCCCGATTGTTCCAGTCATAGCCAATCTAGAAGCTAAGATGAGTGCAATCTGTCAGATTTTGACAGATCTCGCTGATACACGTATTCTGCTTCGTGGTTCTCTTACAGTGACCGGACGGAGCAAAGACCCAACGCCTGTGTTCGCTTTCATGCGCATCGTGGAGATTCGTTGTTAAGTGGGAAGGGTGCTGATTGTTCCATGTACAGGAGAAGGGTACGGAGCGTTGAATAGTTCTTTACGCGATCTGAGCGCACGCACAATGAACTCGTGCCAACTTGGCTTTGGAGCCAAATGTGCGAATACGAGAGGTGTGTAGCACGACACGTGCGACAGTATTGAGGAAAGGCTTCATCTGTCGAGAGTCTCGACAGCATTGTAAGGACGAGTTCCAGAGTTCGACAAAGAACGAAACTATACTGCGTTCCAGCAACTGGTGGTTAGTCCTTCAGACACTTTCCAAAATAAAATAGAAAAGATTGACGGCCGCCCCCTGATGCGTTTCTAGCGCGATCTAATGACCCCTTCTGTCGCTGAAAGTCATTGCACTTCTGCGCTCTCCATGGAACAATTATTTTGACTAAAAGTAGTGCCAGTTCGATCAATAGGGGTCTCCCTAC